AAGACACTTGGTTGCTATTGGTTTTAATGTGCAATTGTTCAGTAATTCGATTATTATTATACTAGTATACTCACACCTGAAGAAGGCTCCACGGCCGAGACGTTGTGTTTTCTTTCTTCTCTTTTCAGCAGGGAATACACCTATTGCTTGTTCCTTTGCAGCCTATACATGCTAACGCAGCTACCCACCTGAATTACTACATTATTATTATTATTATTATTATTATTATTATTATTATTATTATTATTATGAGGGAGTGCACGTGGACGAAGATGACAAAAAGCCCCCTTTCGAAAGAAACACAACACGTTTCAAAGCTGGTATTCGTGACTTAAGCTATGTTTTCTTTTGCATATAAAACATTGCGAATTTCTTGAAATCCCGAGTTCTTGTTGCTGTTGTTGTTGCTGTTCTGTGTTTCCGGGCTGCGCGTGCCTATCATTCCAGAGGAATTCCGAAATGTCACGGGCGGGCGGGGACGCCGGTGCAGGCGATGTTCTGTGCTGTGCTTGAACGCGGAGATACACTGTTTTGAGCTCTGAGGTTGCCGGTTTCTGGCAGTTGGAATTAAAGCACAATAATCACGAATAAGTCCTTCAACATACACCAGCGCTTTACAGGTGAAAGCACTCCCCTCCACCACCAGTGTGCAGCCCCCACCTGGATGATGCTCCAGTACTCTCCCCACACACCAGCTCTCAGTGGGGAGAGCAGAGTGATGAAGCCAGTTCAGAGAGGGGGGTTATTAGGAGGCCATGATTGGTAAAGACCAGGGGGAAAGTTGGTCAGGATACCGGGGTGACACCCCCACTCTTTTCGAGAAACAGCCTGGGTTTTTTAATGACCACAGAGAGTCAAGGCCTTCGTTTTACGTCTCATCTGAAGGACTGCGCCTTCTTTACAATGTACAGTAGTGTCCCTGACACTATACTGGGCTATTAAGACCCCCTCAGACTGGCCCCACTCACACCTCTTCCAGGAGCAACCTTAGTTTTTCCCAGGAGTCTCCCATCCAGGTACTGACCACACTCACACCTGCTGAGCTCCAGTGGGGCTGCCAGCTGGGAGCTAAAGGAACATAGAGCTGCTGACGTTGTTTGTTTGCTGTCTACGAAACTAATTTCAAGTAAACTCAGAAATTCTGTCAAACAAGTTGCCCGTCGGCTGAGCTCCAGTGGACCGGCAGTCTGGAGCTGCAGGGTGATACAGCAGCACAGTCCCGATCCCTGATCCCGATTCCATCTCGGTGCTCAATGACATAATCGAACCCTAATGAACCGTTCAAGCAGCCAGCTGGGTCAGGAGGCGTTGGCTGCAAAGGAACAAGTCAAGGTTTCTTCCCCTGCTGAAAAGAGAAGAAAAAACATGTTTTTATTTTCTTCTCTTTTCAGCATGGAACAGACTTTTGCTTGTCCCTCGTTAATAGGCTTAGTGTTTGTGTTTCTTAGCTTCTAAATCTGCAACATGTCGCCGTGTGGACGCTTGAAGCGCCCGCTTCCTTCTCAGCGCTCGCTCTGGTGCAAAACCCGCAGTCGGAACAGCAGCTGTCGGCGAGGAGAAGAGAGATCCGCGCATTTCTCCTGCCCCCGCCGAGGCGCGGACTGCGATCATATCGCGTCTCTCGGACGGGCCAATAAAATAAAAAGGGCGCGGTGTTTCTGGGACAATTGAACCCTCATCTCGAAACAAGATCTGTGTTTCCGTGCCCAGAAATTCAGACGCGTGAAGCGTCGTGATTGTGAAATGGGAACATAAACTCGGGTATTGAGCTATTTTGTTTTGCAAAGGGGGCCATTAAAAACGGCGACGAGTAGAACTGGAGATGTAGATCACGTGCGGTGCACAGTTGTCGCCTGGCTTTTGAAGAGCTTTGAGATGTTGCTTTCAATTAAATAGGCACTATATATTAAAAGCAGGCCAAGTACAGCATTAATCACGCTGGAAAATCTCATATGATAGAAGATAAAATCTAGAATATGTAGGTGTGGAAATCCTCCGGAATTGAACGGAATAAAACCACCCGCGGGTATGGAGTCGGTTGCCGTACCCGTTTCCGTGCACAGTAACACCACACCGAGAGACATCGTTTGGAGCAGTTCGGCAGGATAGGACACTCTGAGCTAAACCAGCTGTTGAGTGGTGCTTACTACTCCTCCTTCTCCGTTAGTACAGCCCGGACAAGATCAACTAAAAACCAGAAATCTGGATCCCTGCACTGTGAGAGCCGCCCTGTGGAACTTATCTATCCGATGCTCGATGTGGTGATGACACTTGACTTAACTGCTGTTCGTCATCGATCAGATGAACAGTTCCTTCTCCACTGCTGCCCAGTAAGGGTGGCAGACAAGCAGGAGATCTGAGCTGATCCTGATAGCACAAGGCACAGGGTGGGACTATACCCCAGACGGCCGGAATGATTTATAGGTTGGTTGATTGAGGGGTTGGTTGGTTGATTGAGTGGTTAGTTGGTTGGTTAGTTGGTCAGTCAGTCATTTGGTTAGATTAATTGATTAATGGTGTTGAAAATTGTCTGAACTTCTCATTTTGTCCCGCTGATGGTAAATGGATTGATTAATTCATTGATTTGTTGATTGGATGGTTGATGGTAGTGGAAAGCAGTCTGAATTTGATATTTGTTCTCCCACTAGTGATTGATTGGTTGGTTAGCTGGTTGGTCAGTCAGTCAGTTGTGTGGTTAGATGAACCATCAGTGGGCGAATTTCTCATTTTCTCCCTGATTGATTGATTCATTGATTCATGGAGTGGTTGGAAAGCAGTCTGAATTTAACATTTAAATTTTTTCTCCCACTAGTGATTGATTGATTGATGGATGGAGGGAGAAAGCAGTCTGAATTTCTCAGGTGTCTCCTACTGATGCTGTTGCGTCCAGGCGAGACGTGTTTGTGAAGACGTGGGGCTGGACCTCTCGAGCCAGGCTCTGGGTGCTGCTCGCTGGGCTGGCCCTGATTGACAAAGCAGCTCTGTCTGCAAGCAGCCGGGGCAGCCAGACCTGTTTGCAGAAGGGCTCTGGCCCAGCAGGTCTCGTGGGCCCCCCTCCCTTCCATAAGGAGCAGAGGAGCAGCCTCAGCTCGGCCAGCCAGGTTAAGACATTCAGAGATCTCCAGGAATGCAGCCCTGAAGAACCTGTCCCGGCAGCTACGTTAGCAAAGAGTTACTGACCACGCTTGCACTGTCCTCTGCACACTGGATCACGGTGAAGGAGACAGCCATGCTCAGTCCAGTACGTCTCTTTCAAATAAGAAAGGTGATGGTGCCTTCCAAAAGCTATTGAACCTCACTAAGGAAGTATTTCATTATAGACTGCGTTCAGAGAAAGGGTGTTTTTACGCTTTTAGCGTGAAAGCTCATGCACATGCACAAATAGCAGGGTGAGATCTTCCAACCAGGACAAAAGGCATGTCTTTACAGAAAGGTCGGTGGAAGTCTGGAACAAGCTGCGTGGCCATATTATCAAAGTTGATACTGTGGCTCACCACTGCTTGTTTGGGCTGTGCAGGGCACGAGGGGATGGCGTATCAAATCGTTCACTAGGGCTCACCACTGCTTGTT